AAAAAAAAAAAAAAAAAAAAGAGAAAGGTGACTTAGGTAATGTAGGTAAATGGAGCCTCAGGTTGGGACTGAGAAGGGAGTAAGGGAGGAATGTGGGAGATAGATATGGGCCTTCTGGCTTTGGGCCATGCACAGGCCATGTAGCCCCTCTACGTACTCTACTCTGTCACTCTCCTAAACTGGCTCTCCCCAGGGCCACATCCAGTGGCTTCTTGTCTTCATTTTCTTTCTTCTCAGTGGCATTGGATGCTGCTGACCAAAATCCTCTTTGTCTGAAAACTCCCTTTCCCTTCCTTTATGACCAGTCCCTTCCTTGGTGCCCCTTCTGCATCCTGGCCCTATCTTCTTTTCTAAGACACTGATGGCCCAAGCTCCATTCTTCTCTGGCTCTGTTCTTCACCCAGAGGAGATCAGGTGGGGGAATGAGGGTGAGAGTCCAACCAAAGTGTCTCTCCTCTCCCCCACCTATTGTGAGCGAAGTGAGGGGGCTCTTCAGGGAGCCAGAGGGTTCAGCAAGTACCCTAAGAAGGAGGTGGGGAGAGTATGTACTGGGCTGGGGGCAGCAGCTATTCAGATTCTGGCCACTGTCACCATCCAGATACACAACTCAGCATGACCAAATTGCCCGATTCTATGACAGAAACCACAACTCTGAAGTTTTAGATAAAATGTCCCAATCTTAAACATTAGCAACCACTTTGAAACATACTTTACAATTAAATGAAGTCCAGCAGTAGTGTCCAGTCTGGCTTGTGGTCCACTAATTTGTGGCCTCATTAAGTTAAGGAGTAGTTCTTTTTAAAAATGTAATCCAGGGTCCTTTACTGTTCACCTAGGAACTGAGCAACCACCCAGCAGTGACTGGAAAAAGTGGGCCAGGCTGGGGTGGGGAGAAGCCCATTGGACAGAGGAGGGATTGAGCCTCAGAAAGGAGAAGGGGCTTCCAGGGGCCCCTACTCACTCAGCAACACTGCCGGACTCTGCCAGGCCCCCTGGCAAAATGCAAGAGCTATAGGTACCCCCGATTCAACATATTCTGCCTCTCCTAGGAGCTGATATGGCCCCTGGTCCCACTTGAGCCTTCCCTGAGACCTCTATATCCCGGGCCCCTCAGGGAGATATTGCCAGTTTAGCTGCCAATTCAATTTATAGCTGCTTTAGGTTTTGTTCTAAATTATGCATTATTTCAAAAATACATGTCAGAGGTAAGAACTGTTTGTGACATCTGGTTTTAAGATCAGGGTTTATATTAGTGGAATGTGCCCCTGAGTGGGCAATTTGCCTGTCTGTATCCCCAGTTCGCCATTAAAGCCTTAGGCCTGAGCCTGAACTGCAGGCCAAGAAGCCAGGAAAAAGTCTCTGCTGTGCCAAAACCAAGAAGCAAGAGGGGAAAGTGTTGATAATAACTACTGTGCGGACAAAAGAGTGAACCAGGTGTTTTCTGTCAGGCAGATCTGAGTTCAAATCCTACCAACTACCGTGGATAAGTCATGCTACCTCTCTGAGCCTATTTTCCTCTGATGCAGGACAGCAAAAGAGCTATAGTAAAGATTGTGCTTCCATCAGAGCTTGGCTCATGGCAAGCCTTAGTAAACTGCATCTTCAAATAAAGAACAGAAACTCCGTCACCCCAGGCCCATTCAGGATCACATGGTGGGAAGAGTGTAGGTAGGCTTGACCTCCTGGGTCAGGACCACTGGCTCCTTAGATGGCTCTGTTTGGGAAGAGCTTGCTGGACCTTCCTGGCGGCCCTCAGCTTGGAGCTTTGGAAGCAGATGACTCCTGAGATTAATGGGGTCCTTGCTAACCTGTGCCCCATTGACCTACCCTGGGCTGGGCCAAGGGGTTCAGGGGGAGAGGGACCTGTGGGACCTGGGGGGATGTTGGAAGAGAATGAGCAACTTTGCTGGGGTCCCAACTTAGGGCAGGCAGAGTTGGAGGCAGAGCAAGGCTGAGGGCTAAGTTCTCTGGGGGGTTGGAACCTTGAGATTCTTGCCTGGGATTATGTGGTCCTGGCTGAGTGCACAGGGGAAGTCCAGAGACCCTGAAGTACAGGAGAGGAGTGTAGAGGCCTCAGGATGGGCAGAGAGGGGGTGGACTGCAATGCTGGGCTGAGGGAAGGACCTGAAGAGAAGGAGCAGGCCTGAGGCTCTTTTATAGGGCAAAGAGAGAAGGTGGGAACTGCAGTCTGGATAAAGACCGGGGAGGCCCAGATTCCCCCTCCAGAGGAGGGGGAACTAATCTTCAGGGCCTTTGTTCTCTGGGCAAAGATGTGTGCCAGCAGCACCATCTGTTGGTGAAGAGGACAACTCCACGTTAGAGCAATACCCACTGCCAATGGAGGGATGTCTCCAGGAGGCTATGATCACCTGTGGCATTCAGGACCGATGGGTAGAAAGGGAAATGGACACAGGTGGTGTAATGTCAGACTGGGAGAGGCAGCGAGATGGAGAGTTAGAATTCCACAAGGATTTGCATCCTACCTCAATTACATGGACTCAGGGAATCCACTGCCCCTCTCTGAGGCTCAGTTTCCTTCCTCAGCTATAAAATGGGGATGGGATCAGTCCAACTTCTCAAGTTGTAAGTACTCAAAATATTCTTGTTTAAACCAAGCAGATGTGGTTGAAAATCCACAGTGTGACCACAATAGAAGGTAATTTCCAGGACAGTATCAGGCCCCAGGAATATCAAGAAATTTTTGAACACTTAAACTGCCTCTGGCTTTTCTTTCCCCATCTGTAGAGCCTCAGAATCTCATCCTTTCCTTGGTGGCATAGGTTTTCTGGAAGCTGGTCTGGAGAGGTGAGGTCTAGCATGGTGAAAGCTGGAGACAATGAGAACTGGTTGGAAGGAAGCACAGGGAAACACCATGGCCAAACGGCAGACTCAAGTCTTCAGTGCAGGAGGACCCACCATGTACTTCTCAAGACACAGTACATCCATTTCTGCATGAGTCATGTCCCCATGAAGGACAGTCCCAGGGAAAGGGTGGGAGCAGGGAGCTCAAATCCCACCCCACGGCTACTTTGCAAGACAAAAAAATCCAACTCTGCCACTGCTATTAAAAGGTTTCCTAGTAGAGAGAGGATAATCTGGTGCTTAGCCAATTGGCAGTTGCAGCCATGGAAAAGGTGAACTTGGGTGGGTTTCTCTACCTAAACAAACTTCAGGATTCTGTAAAATGGGGTCCTTGTGTCTGCCTCGCCCACACTGCATGAGGATTCTGTTAGGTGCGGAGGTGTATGCTGCAAGCTGAGACCTGCCTGAGGCTGCAGCAGGTGGACAGCGGGGACCTCAGAGGAAAGGAAGAACGGAGCTCTTATCCCGTGGCTTGTTTTTGTGAAGATCAGGTGTATAATTTCTCTCTCTTCCATATTTTGCTGTGAAGTAGAGAGGTTTGTGGTGATTCAGAGAGCTCAGAGCGCCCAGAGAGCTCATGAGAAGGTGGCTGATGCATTAGAGAGGTCACAAAACCAGCATAAAAGCTGCCTGCAGGGGCGTTTTGATGTCAGGCTGCCTTAAACACTCAGAGGGCTGAATTGGAGCCACTTCAGATGCCAAGGATCATCATCGCTGGGAAAGTCGGAGTGTTTCCTGTTCACACCAGGATCAAGGTCCAGTAGCATCAAGTAGCAAGTGAAGAGGATGGGGGAAGGGCTCATGCTTGTGCTGGGGGTTTTGGATTTCCTTATATCCTGTTCTAAATGGAGTTACATCTCATATGTAATAATTAAAGGGAAGCAAATATGGCAGATTATGGTTTTGTTTTTTGTTTTTTGAGACGGAGCCTCAAGCTATCCCCCTGGGTAGAGTGCCATGGCATCATGCTCACAGCAACCTCCAACTCCTGGGCTCAAGCGAGTCTCCTGCCTCAGCCTCCCAAGTAGCTGGGACCACAGGCGCCTGCCACAACGCCTGGCCTTTTTTTTTTTTGAGACAGAGCCTCAAGCTATCCCCCCGGGTAGAGTGCCATGGCATCACGCTCACAGCAACTTCCAACTCCTGGGCTCAAGCGAGTCTCCTGCCTCAGCCTCCCAAGTAGCTGGGACTACAGGCGCCTGCCACAACGCCTGGCCATTTTTTGGTTGCAGCCATCATTGTTGTTTGGCGGGCCCGGGCTGGGGATTCGAACCTGCCACCTTAGGTGTCTGTGGCTGGCGCCTTAGCCGCTTGAGCCACAGGCGCCGAGCCCAGATTATGGTTTTGATGAAACATTTTCCTTTTTATGGCTGAATCAGAAAGTGTGCTAATTGCCCGCTTCTTCACCAGCCTGGCACACAGGCTGTTCACGAGTGCCTAACCAATCGAAACAGATCTTCCAGGTATCAGAAGTAGCAGAAACAGTGCAGAAAGACGAGGAACTCCACCTGAGGCAGTCTCCAAGAGAAGGGACCCCAATGCCAGCATGGTGGCTGTTGTGCCCCTGAGGAATTTTCCATGCAGCCCACCTGTCCCTTCCTGTTCATCCTGCCTTCCTGGGTATCCTATCCTTTTCTGTCCCCTCTGCACATTATCTAGGCCCCAAAACATGGCAGAACTGTGTCACTATCCCCCTCCCCAGAGGGCACTCAGGCCCTAACAAGGAAGACAAGCTCTGGTAAGTTTCTCAGCTCCTCTGGGCCTGTGTCCCTACCTGTGAAACCAGAGGGTTGAGTTAGATCAGTGGTTCTCATATCTGAATATGGAGCACACCTAGAGGCTTGTTGAAGTCTAATGGGTTCCCAGGAGATACTGCTGCTGGTGGTCCGGACTGCACTTTTTTTTTTTTGAGACAGAGCCTCAAGCTGTCACCCTGGGTAGAGTGCCGTGCATCACAGCTCACAGCAACCTCAAACTCCTGGGCTCACGCAAATCTCCTGCCTCCCCCTCCCAGGTAGCTAGGACCACAAGTGCCCGCCACAACGCCCGGCTATTTTTTGGTTGCAGCCATCATTGTTGTTTGGTGGGTCCAGGTTGGATTCGAATCCGCCACCTTAGGTGGGCTGGCTTCTTAGCCACGTGAGCCATAGGCACCGAGTCAGACTGCACTTTGAGAACTGCTGGGTGGATCAGTTACATGCCAGCTCTAATTGCCTGGTGATATCTGCTCAAAGCCATGTGGTTGGGAGGGATAAGAACGCATAGCAAAAAAAAAAAAAAAAGAACCCACAGCAGTAGAAGTGCCCCTCTGTATCTGCCCTCTCCTGGCTAAATGATCTTCAGGGTCTAGCTCAGTGATTCTCACCCTTCCTAATGCTGTGACCCTTTAATGCAGTTCTTCATGTTGTGGTGACCCCCAACCATAAAATTGTTTTCATTGCTACTTATAGCAACAACATGAGGAACTGTAATAAAGGGTCATGGCAGGCAGTACCTGTGGCTCAGTGGGTAGGGTGCAAACCCAGCCCCAGCCAAACTGCAACAAAAAATAGCCGGGTGTTGTGGTGGGCGCCTGTTGTCCCAGCTACTAGGGAGACTGAGGCAAGAGAATCACCTAAGCCCAGGAGTTGGAGGTTGCTGTGAGCTGTAATGCCACGGCACTCTACCCAGTAAGACTCTGTCTCTACAATAAATAAATAAATAAATAAATGGTCATGGCATTAGGAAGGTTGAGAACCACTGATCTAACTGGAGCATTTTGAACAGACAACGAAACCCACAGTCTGAAGAGGGAGTCTTCTTACCTGGGGCCAGGCCTGGGATTCAACCTCCATGGGGTCTGGGTGGCACCAGATCCGGATAAGACTGTGGTTCCTCAGGGACTCATCCCCAGTGGCAATACTGGTGATCACAGACTTGTCCAGCTGTGGGCAAAATGTGGGCAGGGGAAGTGAGGGATGGTGGAGCCCTAACTACCCAGCCCCCACACCAGGCCCTGCAGCCACCTGAATGATGAGCTTTGTGAAGGGCTCCGTGATGATTTTGAGCAAGTCAGGGGCATCACGCCCACCTCGGATGTTGAAGGAGGCCACCACGAATCCAGTGACATGGTACAGGTAGCCTGTAGTAGCCTCCAGGGGCAGCAGGACCAGAACAGACAGCCAGTTAAAGCAGTCATGCACAGTAGCTCCCGCGAAGGCCCTGGGCAGGGAAGCCATATGATGGGGCAGGCCAGAGCCAGGGCAGGCTCACACTGCCCTCCCTCAAACACCAGCCCCCACCCGCCTTGTCCCTCTCACCGCCGGAAGTCAGTCCTATCCCCTGCCTGCATCAGGGCCACGATGGTGTTGGTGACAGAGGTGCCAATGTTGGAGCCCATGATGATGGGGATGGCAGAGCTCACCTCCAGCACTGGGAGAAGAGGGTGCCTCTTAACGAACTGGGTGGACACCACCAAGCTCCTGTCCCACAATAGATCCTTCCAGGCCCACTAGCCACATCGAGCCCCAGGTGGCTATTCCTGCTGTGCTGCTGACACTGCCTAGCCTAGGTGTCTCAGGTTCATGTAGGCATGTGCTGGGCATTTATGTGCTCACATTGTCCATGGTGCCAGTGTGTGAACAGGTGCATGTGTGGGTGTGCATTATGAGGGCTCATGGCCTATATGCAAGTACAGATCTGTGCTTTGTGTCCACCCATGTACCCAAGTATGAGAATTAGTTTTAGGTGTCAAGTTGGCTCAACTATAGTGATTCATATCTACAGTTGTTTAAGGAGATTATCCTTGACAACCTAAGTGGGCCTCAGCCAATAGGATGAGTCCTTACAAGCAGAATTGACACTTCTCTCTGTTTTGGTCAAAGGTAAATTAGAAACAAAATAAAAGAACTGAGGCTTCCCTGAGGATTAAGAAATTCTGCCGGTGGATGGCAGTGTCGGCTCCTGTCAGAGAGCTCCAGCCTGCCCTTCCAGATGGCCCAAGCCTGTGGATTCTGGCACTGCCCAGCCAGCCCCACAATTGGGTACACGAGTTCCTTGCCATAAGTCATATCTATATCCTACAGGTTTGGTTTCTCTGGCTTGTTTCCCTGACTGATACAGATATGACTGAGTGACCATGTGGAGGTAAGCTTTCCCTGGGCTATGCTGCTCATTTGCCATCCTTTCAGCGCCTGGGGAACCCCTTCTGCTCAGACTCTTGGTCATGCTTTAGGGCAGAGAGTGGAAAGATAGAGGCCTGCCTTTTGCCCTCAGCCCTTATCTGCACTCCTACCTCTGATGCCACCAGTACTACCCAGCACCACCTGCCCAAGCTCTTTCTCCAGGCCTGGTGGGCCAACTCACAGCCAGAAGAGACCATGCTGACAATGATGGATGTAGAGGTGCTAGAGCTCTGCACTAGCACTGTCACCAGGATTCCCACCACCAGCCCAGCCACTGGGTTGGACAGGATGGCGTTGTCCTTGAAGATGTCACCAGCCACCTTCCCTGGGGAATATGAGCTGGTGTTATCTGAGGTCCCTCAGGATCCCCTCCCTGGGGCCTTCCTCCATCTGGTCCTACCTCCAGCCAGCTGGAAGGCTGAGCTGAGCACATCCAGGGAGCAGACAAAGAGATAGAGGAAGGCGAGCATCAATGGCACCTTGAGCAGCGTGATGCCAGCATGGCACAGCTTTGAGACTAGCCTGGGATCTGGAGGCAGGCCAGCCATGAGCACAGTGGGCAGGAGCCCAGGGCAGCAATTGCCAGTACTCCTGCTGTTCCCTGCCCAGGCCCACCTGGCTTCTGCTCCTCCTCCAGGCCCAGCTTGGCAGGCAGTGGGTCATGGAGCTCCAGGACCTCCCCACAGGAACAGCTGTGCTCACTGAGGGCCACAGGGCCCAGTCTGGGGAAGGCGTAGGCAGAGGTTCCTGGGACCCTGTGCAGGACTTGGAAGGAAAACTATTCAGGAGGCCCAGATGCTGCAGGGCCTGGGAGAGGGGCAGGCAGAGGGGATAGAAGTGCCACCCAGGCTGTGGGCAACCATGGGCAAGCACTCACCCGGCGGACTGGGCACGTAGGCAAAGGCAGCCCCTGGTATCATGTGTCGCCTGTGGACTGGGAGTGGGGAGACAGCTGGACTCCCCAGCCTTTCTCTGTAGGACATCATCTTGGGCACCCGCTATGAAGCCTGCAGGTCAGGGGGTCGCAGCAGCACTGAATTACACCTGCAGCATCCAGGGTGCTCACACTTACACTCATATGCTCATGTACACACCCCCCATGCTGTGTGATCCCACACACATCCAGCAAAGCACACCCTCTAAACTCACCACCGCCACACACACATTCCCCAAGGTGCACACACAGGTGCCCAGTACAGACTTGAGCATTTGTTCATTCACTCATTCCACAAGCATTATTGAGCTTCTGCTCAATCCCAGGCTGAGAGCTAGAAGCAGACACAGCTGTTGCCCTTAGGAAGCTCAAGGTCTGATGGGGAGAGTGGATGAAAATGAAATAATCCCCGAAATAGATGGAAAACAGCAATGGAGGTAAGCTCACAGTAACAGATAGACACCAGAGCACCTGTTGGCAGGGCGTGGGCTGGAGGGGCAGAGAAGATAATCAGGCTGAGATGAACAGTGAGTAGGAGTTACCTTCGGCGGGGGGGGGGGAGTGTGCAAGGCCCTGTGGGGGAGGAGACTGACCTTGGCGGTGGGGTTGGGGTGGTGGGGAGGAAACATGTGAAAAAAGCAGAGGCTGCATGTATGGGCCACGGCTGTCTGTGTAGGGGAGCTTTGCCTGCCAGAGAGCAGAGAAGGGCCATGGACACCTGCCTGCTCATGGGACCGACTAGGCACACACTAGTGGTGGTGGTATTGAGGAGTTCTGTGGCCTGAACCCCAAGTCCCTATGAGCTTTCCCCATCTACTCCCTTGAGAGGCAATAAACAAACACTGACAGCTTCTCTACGTGAAAGAGGCTCAGACCAGGACTGGCCTTGCTTTAACCCCTCCTGCACCACCACAGGAGTCCTTGACTGATGGGGCAAAAGTGCCCTGGTCTACCTCAGCACCCTCTCCACACATCATCCTAAGGGTCCTTGGGGTGGAGGAGTGTGCAGAGCTGAATTCCAGACTCTGGAAGAGCACAAGCTTTTCACTGTGGTGAGTGAGCCAGGTGGGGCAGAAAGCAGTGGGAAGCAGATAGGGCTGGGGTGATGGGCTGTTTCCCACTAAGAGCTGGGGGTAGAGTTGGGATGTGAGGACGCTGGGCTCACCTTGGAGTTCTGCGTTTCAGCTCTTGCTCAGTGGCGCAAGAAAGCCTTCAGGGCCCTGAGGAGGAACGGGGACCCTCCTCTTTATACCTTCGGGTCAAGGGCAAAGTCCCTAGAACCCTAGCTGCCCTCCCTCTGTTCCCCGATTAACCTCAAACCCCCCCCCCCCAGATTCCTCCCAGTTAATTGCTAATCGTCAGCTCTGCAGGGAGAGTCTGTGGTCAGGCTCCCACACAGACATTCAGCCTCAACTGTGACCTAGCAAGGGCATAGACACATTCCTTGCACACACCCCTTGCCCCCCACTGCCCCAGGACCCTGATGCTACTCAGACATCTTGTTCCCAGGGTCCTAGAAGAGAGTTTGTGACTATGTCCCCTTCCCCTCATTCCCAGACTGACAGACTCCCTGTGGAGTGGCCTAAACAGCCTATGGCACTGCCCTGCATCTGGGTGTCTTGGAGTCTGTGTGGGTGTAGGAGCTCAGGGGAGAGGGAGTATGTGATGGAGGGAACACCAGAGAAAAATTTGGAGGGCTGTAGAGTGTTGACTTGTGGTGGGGTCACTAGCTAGTCTGGGAAGGGCCTGTTCTGCACTTTAGAATGGGCTCTGGGAGCAAGGTCAGGATGTGTCAAAGGGAGTGAGTCTGGAAGCAGAGAGGGCAGTTAAGAGGCAGAGGAGGACTAGTCATGGTAGCTCACACCTGTGATCCTAGCACTCTGGAAGGTTGAGGCAGATGGATTGCTTAAGCTCAAGAGTTCGAGACTAGCCTGAGTAAGTGTGAGATCCTGTCTCTACTAAAAGAATAGAAAAACTAGCCAGGTGTGGTGGGCACCTGTAGTCTCAGCTACTTGGGAGGATGAGGAAAGAGGATCACTTGAGCCCAAGAGTTTGAGGTTGCTGTAACCTATAATGCTATGGCACTCCACCCAGAGTGACAGAGTGTGAGTCTGTCTAAAAAAAAAAGGCAGAGGAAATGGTCTGGTGAGAGAGATGATGAGGTCTGAGCAAAGATAGGAACAGAAGGGATGGAGATGAGGAGATGCATCCCAGAGATACTTGGGCACTAGAATTGGTGATAGGGAGGGAGGAAAGGAGAGAGAGAAAATATGTGACTGTCACATCCCTGGATTGTGGGGTAGATGATGGTATGTCTGTGTAGAATTCCTAAAACCCAGGGAGGGGGTCATAGAGAGCCTTAGAAATGCTTGTTTTTCTTTCATGGGACTATGGATCCTGAGTTGGGCCCAGATTCACAGAGAGATGAGAAGGGAGCTTTTGGAAGGGGTTGAAGATTTGATCAGATCCAGCAATGGTGGGTTGCATTCAAGATCTAGCTTGAGCAATTCTCTGAGTAGTTTGCCTAACACTACCAGTTATCCATCTGGACCATCTATCCATCTCTCTAGTCACCCATCCATCCACCTAGCCATCTAGTCAGCCACATGTCTGCCCATCCATTTCTAAGCACTTTGGTTGAGTTCATAGTCTATGCTGGACCAAGACTGGCAAGGCCAGCTTCTCATCTGGTCTGAGCAAAGGTGTAGGCCAGGGGTCCTCAAACTATGGCCCGCGGGCCACATGCGGCCCTCCGAGGACTTTTATCCGGCCAACAAGGTGTTTTTGCTGCCACTGCCTATCCTACTTAGCAGCTGACTCAACCTGGGCCCACAGTCTGGCCCTCCAACGGTCTGAGGGACAGTGAACTGGCCCCCTGTTCAAAAAGTTTGAAGACCCCTGGGTAGGCAATCCCTGACTCAGCCTGGGGTTCTAAGGCAAGTCACCTCAGCTCCTGGGGCCCTCCTCTCTTCATAAAATGGCAATTAATTAGCAAGACTTTTTCAGTGAGTCATAGAATTTAATGAGACAAATGACCTCTCTCAGTACCTAGAATAGAGTCCCTCAGCGTGTTGTTCTCTTCACACTCTAATGCCTTCTTTACTCACTTTCTAGGGAATAGCCCCCAACCTCTGACCAGCCCTATCTCTGCTTAGCAGCTCCTTTAGGCTTATCAGCAGTCCTTTGATTGGTCAGGGTCCCCCAAGGAAAATATCTGCACAATTCCTTCTTTAATCTGACAAAGGTTAACTAATCAACACTTAGTTCCTAGCTTGAGACCAACAGTGGCCCACTGACTTTCTGTTGAAGTGGCTATGAGCAGAGAACAAGCCCAGCCTAGATTGGAATCCCTGCTCCCCGCAACTGGCTATGTCAGTGTAGACCCAGAACCTCCGGCCAAGCCCATGGGGTGAGGAAGCAGAGATGGGATTGATTTGGGGAAGAGTGACCATAAGTCATGGTTTATTGGACCATTGTCCCACAGTCCCCTTTCTCTCTGAAAAATGTCCTGGTTCAGACAATAAACCATATACAGTTGGCTCTTGAGCAATCCAGGTTTGAACTCTACAGGTCCACTTAAACAAGGATTTTCATTCACCTCTGCCACCTCTGAGACAGCAAAACCAAGCCCACCTCTTCCTCCTCCTCTTCAGCCTACTCAGTGTAAAGACAATGAGGATACAGACATTTATGGTAATCCACTTCTACATAATGGATAGTAAATATTTTCCTTCCTTCCTCCCTCCTTTCCTTCTCTCTTTCTCTCTCTCTCTTTTTTCCCCTCTCTCTCTTTCTTCCTTTCTATTTTGAGATAGAGTCTTACTCTGTCACTCCGGCTAGAATGCAATGGTGTCATCATAGCTCACTGCAACCTCAAACTTTGGGGGTTAAGCAATCCTCCTGCCTCAGCCTCCCAAATAGCTGGGACTATATGCATGGGCTACCAGGCCAGGCTAATTTTTTTTTTTTTTTAGTAAAGACAGGGTTTTGCTCTTGCTCAAGTTGGTGTCAAACTCCTCAGCTCAAGGAATCCTCTTGCTTTGGTCTCCCGGGGTGCTAGGATTACAGGCATGAGCCACTGTACACAGCTCCTTATGATTTTCTTTTCTTTTCTTTCTTCTTTTTTTTCAGTCTTTTTTTTTTTTATAGAGACAGAATCTCACTTTGTTGCCCTTGGTAGAGTGCCATGGCATCACACAGCTCACAGCAACCTCCAACTCCTGAGCTTAGGTAATTCTCTTGCCTCAGCCTCCCAAGTAGCTGGGACGACAGGTGCCCACCACAATGCCTGGCCATTTTTTTTTTTTTTTGCAGTTTTTGGCCAGGGCTGGGTTTGAACCCACTACCTCCGGCATATGGGGACGGCTCCCTACTCCTTTGAGCCACAGGCGCCACTCCCTCTTATGAGTTTCTTTAATAACAATTTCTTTTCTCCAGCTTATTTTATTCTAAGAATATAGTAATGGGCAGTGCCTGTGGCTCAGTGAGTAGGGCACCCATCCCATATACCAAGGGTGATAGGTTCAAACCTGGCCCCGGCCAAACTGCGACAACAACAACAAAAATAGCCGGGCGTTGTGGCAGGTGCCTGTAGTCCCAGCTACTCTGGAGGCTGAGGCAAGAGAATCGCCTAAAGCCCAAGAGCTGGAGGTTGCTGTGAGCTGTGATGCCACTGCAGTCTACCGAGGGCTACAAAGTGAGGCTCTGTCTCTAAAATAACAAAAAAACAAACAAAAAAAGAACACAGCAATTACACATGTAACATACAAATTATGTGTTAATTGACTGTTTATGTTATTGGCAAGGCTTCCAGTCAACAGTACACTATTAGAAAAAATTTTGGAGGGTCAAGAGTTACACTAAGATTCTTGACTACATGGAAGATTGGTACCCCAACCTCGGTGTTATTCAAGGGCCAGTTATAATTAGCCTGTTTATGGGTGATCCAAGGAATTGAAGCATTAGATTAGCCACCTCAGAGTGCCTACTTAAAAGGCCTCTTATTTACAGAATAGCAAAAAGGAAAATGAAAACAATTTTGGCTCTTAGAAACACAGCTGTAACATTTTGGAACATTGCTTTTCATCCTTTTGTCCTTGTGTCTTTTTATCCAGTTAGAATTTTATTATCTAGGGTTGGTGCCTGTGGCTCAAAAGGGTAGGGTGCTGGCCCCATATGCTGGAGGTGGTGGGTTCAAACCCAGGCCCGGCCAAAATAAAAAGAAAAAAGAATTTTATTGTTTATAAAGACTACCTCTTGCTCTTTCTTGA